AAGGAGTACTTCATGGTACTCTCTCCATCGCTGAAGTATGTCCTCATCAACGGTGAGAAGGCGTCCAGTTTTGTCCTTCAGGACTCTTAGACTGCCGTTCTCTCCACTTCAAAATCTGTGGATGGTCTGCCAGAACGTTTTGCTTGCCGCGTCAAATTCGACTCCAACACCTTATCGAATTTTTCATGGAAACCACCTTTCGCTTTTGCCAATCTGAGCGCTTCTTCTTACTCCATGCGTTTTTAAGTCTCTTTGCTTCCAAGCCACCTCATGATTGTAACCTTCTTCTCGGTAACAGGTACTTAAACCTCTTTCCATCAGAAAGTTCGTTTCTGACCTCAGACTTAAGGCCAACCCGTTTGAAATCGCAGCATTCCGCGACAACCGCGAATAAACTGCTCTTATTGAGCTTCCACTCGGTTTGCACATCATCGATCACCACTGGATTATTCGAGCTATTGACAGTAAATTTTAGAATTATGCCTGAAGAGGATAAACATCCGTTTACACGCGTTTGTTTGTCCTTTTAATCTCATTACTTCAACTGTATTCAGTTCAACTTTTCATTAAAACGACAATGCTAACATGATCTACAGAGGAAGCTTTTCAGGAACAGTTACTTCTTTCTTAGCCAAAATATTTGACAAGTTACCAGATACATTGAAGTGAGGGCGATCTTCCTATTTGACTGGCATAAACAGGGTACATTATTACTTGGAAATACCTATAATTAGACTAACAGCGTTTATTGCAAATTTGCGGCTATTTAATTCCTTGTGTAACTACTTTGCACTGTTAGAAAATGTCTGAGGTTATGCACAAGCTTCTACTCCCCATACTTATTTTTAAATAGTGTCAATATTCATCTGGTAATTTCACTATTTACGAAATGTCACGAATTTGTTGTTGACAGAAAGACCTATGATAATGTTAGACAGCCAATAATTCGTTTTGGTGCCCATGAATTTTTTGATTTGCATGAACCCATTTAACCAGCCACTCAGATACTTAAGCTGGCCATGACCTCATAGTAGAACAGGACAAATCAACACTGCTTGTGGAGTCGAACATGTTCGTAACACTAGTGCAACTTTTAGTCATGTACATTCAAGCTGGCTTATGGCACGATGCCATCGCAAAATACATTAGCAACGCATACGTGTATGAAATTGACTTCGTTGTGACTAAGCTTTTCTCTTTAGCTTTCGACCTCCTTCTAACGTTAAAAAATGACCTTAACCCCAACGTCTTACTTCGTTCAAAGCAACAGGTCTTTACTTATTAATTATAAACCCAGGCGATAGCCAGCTATTTCTTGTAACTACAGCTTTTGTAAAATTATGAGAATTACCCACCCACTTCAATTATTACAGCATTATTCGTTAACCATAACCCGTTTGTCGTTGTTCGTAGCATGCGACGGTTATAAAATTCTATATCTATTACATAATGGAAATCCTGATTTCAACTTCGGTTCTGAGTATTAACCGAGCGCGTTTTCAACATCAATATATGTTAATGCCATGCAGGAAAATGTTCATTTACGCTTCCAGCATTTTTTGGCAAGTTTGTGTGATTTAAAAATTATCTTATCAGTTACTTTAAAACTGAGTATTCTGCACCAACAGGGCGGTTAAAATACATCTACCGCATTAGCCTCCATTGTTTCTAAACTGTCTTTCAGACAACAAGACAACAACTCTTACACAGTGCTCCTATCACGTATTTTTAAAGTGCGCCAATACAAAACAACGAATGTCGTCACCTGGTAACCGAACGTTGCGGAAGTAATCTCTCGACATGACTACTAGCAAACCGAACAATTTTTTCACTGCAAAAAATGTAAACAAATAACCCCAACGGTCCTTACGAGGGTTATAGAAGGAGAATAAAGAAATCTAACAGTTTTAATGAGGTCCAATGAAGTAAAACTGGACGGAGGCACATTCAGCATATCGAAGGCAATATCTTCCTACACAAAATGTGAATGTACCGAGAACATTAAAAGAAAACGGGACCGACATCGCCATACTGCAAAGGCGCATATAGGAGAATATCGAAAGGCGACTGGATACAAAATTTCTGGGTTCATTATGACCGCTGACGCAAATGACACTAAACACGGTTTAGCTGCCAATGCCAGGAATGAAGCGGGTGAATCAACTGACCGACAGGACATCAGTAGCTGGCATACGTTTGTGTCACGATGCTAAACAGCAACGGACTCTTAGATCAGCCAGATGGAAGACTGACTGAGGCCCGGAACTCTCTCACTGTCGTAATGACATTCCGCTTTTTCTCGGCAATAGTACTGGATTCTTTCCAAAGTGACAGCTGGGCCCAGTAGTGCTCAGAATCGTTCTGCAGGTACCACTCGTTTAGTCCATTCCATTACCTCGCTGGTACTTTTTAAAAACAAGCTGATAATCACGCACAGTCGATGTTACAGAAGGTATCCACCGAGTCGTGGCAACGCCTCAATCTTACAGCATTTTTGGGCAAAAAACTAATCCCTTC